GGATGTGGGGTCCCAGCTCGTATCCCTGCAGTGCTCCGGGGACATCCGACGGGGAGGGAGCTCCCAGCTAGCCCGGGAGCTGGCCGGGGTTAATCTGGGTTTGGAGTACCCGCGCCTGTGAGCGGGGCAATGAGGTGAAGTACCTCCCGGGAGGGAGTTACCGGTGCAGGGCTGGGGCTCCGACAGCGCGTGGGTCGGCTGGAGGTGGTGGAGCGCTGGCCGCCGGAGGCGGGGAAAACCATCCGAGGGGCCCGGGATCGGCCAGGGGCTGGCAAGGGAGCAGCCTGAAGCCTGCTTGGGAGGGCAGCAGGGCTGGTCATCGGGCTGGACAGCGGAGTCAGTGCTGTGGCTTTTGGGCCATGTGGCTTACCTGTCTGGCAAGGAGATGGGAGCCAGGGGGTGCTCTGAGTGGGAAAAGAGGAGCCCTGCTTTAGGGGTGGGAAGAGAGGAAAAGCTGGGACTGGGGAGGTCGTTTTGCCTCTGCACTGCAGAATGCCCCAGCCATATCCTGCGCACTGCACTGCGGTGAGAATGACCTTTCTGGATCACTGGAGTTTTCCTCAGGGAGCTGCCAGGTGCTGCAGAATAGCACCCTGCTGCAGGCAGGATTGAACCTTGCCACCCCACCCAGCCGCACCCCCCCAGCACCTTCATGCCCTCCTTGCATGGAATAGAGCACCCCATGGGTGGAGGATAGCAGGAGCCCAGAGTAGGGGTTGCGGGGATGGAGGAGAGGCGAGGGTTGTGGATGTACTCTAGAGAGGAGAGATCCCCCATCTCATTCCCAGGATGGGTGATTTAGAAATATAATACCATGAAAAGACTTGGCTTGGACCCGGATGTCTAAGCAGGGTTTGGTGGAATGGGGATGGATGGGAAACAGCTGTTCCCTTCTTCTTCCAGAGCAAGAATTGGGGGGCACCAGATAAAATAGGTGGATATAAAGCAAGCAGGACAATGTAGTTCTCTGTGGGAAACACAATTGAGCTGTGGGACTGCCTGCTGCAGGGGTCATGGATGCTAAACCTCAAAATGGGATCCACGCACCTTTAGAGAAAATACTGGCAGATAAGCACAGGGATGAGTATGAAATTCAGATGCTACCTCTGCTGTGAGAAGAGCCTATGTTACATGATCTGGGGTCAGGAGCAGGGATGTGCAGGGGTTACTGCTTGGGAGAGAGTTTGGAGGAGTGTAGGGGTCTGGGTTAGTGCAGAGCTGCTCCACAGGGTCCCAGAGGTAGAATTAGTCGTCACCCTAAGGTCCAGGGACCCTCTCCTCTCCTACCTCTTGCCAGACTCAGCGGAGCCTGTCCTTGTGCTTCATGACGAGGATGTCCAGGTGTGCCAGGCTCCTGCATATGCACAGCCTGCCATGGGGGCATCTTGGGCACCCACCAAGGGTGCTCCTTAGTGCAAGCTGTGGGTGCAATGACCATGGCTCAAATAGGACAGTTTTCCTCTGGAAGTAAGGAACATTGGTGCCTGATTCAAAGTCACAGCAGGTCCTTCCCTGTCCCAGTCTCTCCTTCCCCTATACCTGCCAGTGCCTGCTAGGGATGTAGGACAGAGCAGTGTTACACCCGGAATTCAGCTCACTACGGAGTCATTTCTGCAGATCACAGTGCCCCTAGGGACAGGCAGAGGCTGTGCTGTGACACCAGCCCAGTTTCAGGTGGAGGTGGCAGTGGGGAATACTAGTGCTGGGATGGATCTAGGTACTGCCAAGATACCTTCTTTTTGGGGCTGCAGATGAAAGAACCAGGCCAGATCCTCACATGAAAGCAAATGAGTTGGTATTCATCTTCAGTGAGATGTGAATGAGGGTGGGAGGGATGTGGGGACCCTGGCTCCAGACCCACTGCAGCTGCATTGACCTCTGAGCACTCCTACTACTGTCCAGAGGTGCAGAGGTGTCCTCTCCTCCTCCTACTTGAGGGGCAGGATGGTGTAGGGATGCTCTAAAGGAGACAAGAACCTCATAACCATCTTCTCTGTCTCTAGAGCAGGGAAAATGCAATGAGGGGCATCTGAAAGCTGGGTCTGGGAGAGGGCAACATCGTTGTGGGTTGAGGAGAGTGGGGCACATCCTGCCCCATGCCTTGTGCCCTGAGAAGGAGCTTTAACCTCTCTGGGACCCGGCCCTTGCAGGCAGCGGGCAGATCCAGCTGTGGCAGTTCCTGCTGGAGCTGCTGTCGGACCGGGCCAACCTGAACTGCATCGCCTGGGAAGGCACGAACGGGGAATTCAAGCTGGTCGACCCCGACGAGGTGGCACGGCGCTGGGGCGAGCGGAAGAGCAAACCCAACATGAATTATGACAAGCTGAGCCGGGCACTGCGCTACTACTATGACAAGAACATCATGACCAAGGTCCATGGCAAGCGCTACGCCTACAAATTCGACTTCCACGGGCTGGCGCAAGTGTGCCAGCCGGCCACCCCCGATCACACCCTCTACAAATTCCAGGGAAATCTGGCCCCGCTGCCCTTCTCGGGTATCTCCAAACTCAACCTCATGACCTCGGGGGTGACGCCAGCCAGCTTCTCCTACTGGCCTGGCTCCAGCCCATCCCTGTACCCCGGGCATGGGCTCCAGCCCTCGGCCCCATTCAGTGCCATGGCAGCCTCTCACCTCAACAATATGAACAACCATTACCATTAGAGGCTTGGCTGTGCCAGGCAGACCTCCCTGTCCCCAGAAACATGGGGCTGTGGAGCTGGGGAGCTCAGCAGGGAGGGATGGGGGTGGGTGGGATTGTGCCCTGTTCTCAGTTGCCCCGTTTTAGATTTGGAGAGTGGGGTGAGGGGTGCTTGCAGCATAGCTGGGTGGCTAGAGGAGGGAAGCCATCTAAATTTAGGGTGAAGGGGGACCCATGATCCTGGGAATGGACATGGATACCTAAAGCAGGGTGTGAATGGAACGAAAAACCATGGGGTCTCCTCCTGGCAGGAAACATGCCCCTCCTCTCCTTTGCAACGTGCTGCCCATCCCATGAACATCCCTAGCTCTGCCCCCAGCCTGTCTCTCTCTCCCCTCTCCCTGCAGAGAGGAATCAGGAGCTGGGGTCCCAGGGCAGCTGTGTCCACAGGTCAGGGTCCCATTGGGCAGAGACAGGGAAAGGAGATCCTCCTTGCCATTCCTGGGTCCCTCACCTTTGTCTCCACATTTTCCTCCATTCCTTGTACATGTTCTGCCGATGGTGGCTTCCTCCAGACCGAGGAGAAATCTTGGTCTGGAGAGTAGATGCCCTTCATGGGCTAATTCATGTCCAGGACAGGGCTCAGTGGTTGGAGGTGCCAAGGGCAGATGTGCACCACCAGCCCTCAGGGCAAGACCAGAGCCCAGAGACAGCAGAGCTTGGCTCCTGCAACTCTGCCCTCTCCCCAGTGCTGAAGGACCGCACCACAGAGCTGGGCAGTCCCCAGCACCCTGCACGCAAGCCCATGTCCTGCTGATCACTTCCAAGTTTAATGCTCCAGTTTTACTGTGGGTTTAGCCCCTCACATGTAAGTCTTGATGGGAAACCTTCCATAGGTGGGGACATCCCCAGGGACAAGGCTGGGTGGGAGGTGAAGCAGGAGTAGGGATGACAGCAGGGCTGAGAGCCCCAGGCATGGAGGGGTAGCCCTGGGTCTCTCCCTCTGGGTCCAAGGAGTTGCCCCCATCCTCCAGAGCAGGACTTTTGCCCAGTGGATGCGGAAGAGCTGGGCATGCTGGGCTTTGTACTGGCTGGGGGGAGGGACTGTCTTCAATAAAACAGAGAGGTGCTGTGAACTGTGTCATCTCGTGTCTGCAGGGGGCTGGCGAAACGGGGGAAATCACCCAGCAAATCCCCTCCCTTCTGAGCCAGAGAACTGGCAGGTCTGAGATCGTGAAGATGTGGCCACTCTGCTGCCTCACCTTTTCTCCAGGCTCTTACAGCCCCCAGGAGACAAGGCAGAGCTGGAAACCTCTGGGCTTCATTAGATACCCCTCCAGGAAAATCACATACCTTGTTTCCAGGCTGGTAAGGGGATGTGGCAGCTGGAGGCAAAGAGGAGATGCAGTTGGCCTGACAGGGATATCTGCCACCCTGCCATCATCCAGACGAATTTGGGGTGCCAGGAGCCAAATCTCTCGTGACGCACAGGGCCCTGTGCAACCAGCTCATGGCAATGCCCTGGGGCCAGCACAGCCTAATGCCGCAACGGGTGTCCCTGATGGACTGTGCTGTGCCAGAAGCAGGGAGGTCCTGGGCTGTGGAGTCAGGCTCATGTGTGACATTGATGCAGGAGGTGAGTGGAGAAGCAACACTTGCCCGGCTTCAGGAATATGCCCATGGATCCACTGGTGCCTGTGGGCTAAGGGGCTGCCCACGGCCTGCCCCCCTCCCTTCAGGCTGTGCTCACCATCCCACTCCCAACCACGGCACAGGGGGCCAAGGTTGGGGGTCAGGCTTACAGCAGGGATCAAATCGACTGTGTAGGGGGTTGCCCAGCAATTACGCAGCCCATGGAGGGGGTCATCAACCCCCAGGCCCTCTCCCTGTGCCCTCCAGATCAGAGCAGCCCCCAGACCTGGGGGCTCCGTGCTGCCTCTTTTGTGTCCCTTCAGGGGCTGGTCACTCTCATGGCCTTGGTGGCATCTGCTCGGACATGTCCTCACTGCCATAATCAGCTTAAGGGAGGGTGATCTGATGTCAGCGTCTCCTCTGGGGAGGGCTCAGGCTGCAGGGGGGGTGATGCTGCCACCAGGGAGCTCCTGTATGGGAAAGGAGCTGCAGGTGGGGAATGGGGAGGGTCCCTCCCTCCAGGGTCCCTGAACATTGCACAGCCTGGTCCCCAAGACAGCAGGAGACGAAGTTGGGGGAAACGAGTTACCTACATGCAACCAACACTCAGGCTGGAGACAGCCCCCCCCCAAACTTTGAAAGGGCAAAATGGCAGTGGCTGGCCACAGCTGGCTCCCTCAGAGCTGGGGCAGGGGGCTGTGTCCCCACCAGGGCAGCCTGCTTTGGGGCTTAGGTAAGTGCATGACGCAGGGCAGGACATGGATTAAGAGATGTGGGTCACTACTAGCTGCCCGACCTGCCATCCCACTCCTGTCCCTCTTGTCCCTCTGCTACTGCCTGCATCAATGAAGCCCAGATGAGCCCAGTTCCCTCTTCATTCCCCACCCTGCAAATTGGATCAAAGGACAGACACGCTGGGAAAAGGAGTTACCTTCTTGCAAGAGGCACAACAGCTGCACTCCCCTTATGCAACAGGCTGCAGCTGAGGGATTGCTTCATTCTGCTCCAAGCTTACGTGACACAGTCCCCCTGCTCTGTCCCCAGAGTGCCACCCCAAAAGTCGGGAAGCAGCTATGCCTGGATGGCAGCCAGAGGGAGAGTAGGGGACACCCATGCAGGACTGCACCAGCGATGCTCTCGCCGGCCTGAGGATGCAGCTGGTGTCTCCATGGCAACTCGAGATGCTCCCG